GTATTAGTTAAACATTTTTAAAGTTTTGTAAAAAAAGTCAAATTCGCCGAATGTGCCCCTACCCGGGGTAGCTTCGGCATTTGATGGGGCACATTCGGCACCATAGTCACAGCCTGGTAATTATCATCATCATTATCATCGCTATCAGTCTGGTTGAAATTCTGATCCTCTAAAGGCACTATTTGGTTTTAATACGCGACACAATGTTTTAATTTTAGGGCTACATTTTCTAGCGGCGGACGTTGAATCTCAAGGTCGCACACACCATCAGAAATAGGTTTTTTCTATCTCATTTTCGTCAATACAAGCATGTTTAGTCTTATATATGTAATTTCAATCCATATTAAATGATTATTTTTAAAGACAAACTCAAAAACATATTAAGGAAATAACATTGCACTAACTGTATATGGCCGAATGTGCCCCACTTTAAAATGTCGAATCTACCCCGAATTTACTTTTTATAGTTTTTTTATTTTTATTCTTGTAAAAACATTATATTTTTAAATATTTCTACAATAATACACATCGTAATTAACTATTTTTTAATAATATTGTCTTAAAATTTTAAAAATTTTATACACGAAATACTTGGGAAATGGAAATATTACAAAAACATCTGTAAAAATACAAAAACCCGTGCATCTAAAAAAGTTTATTACCTAGAAATTTCAAACATTGTGACAGTTATTTATTTCGACCTATGTATAGAAACTAGTTACGTACGGCGAGAGCTTCATATCGAAAACGCGTTTGCCGAAGCTGACCCCATGCCGAAGATGCCCCAGTCTCCTCTCCCCTTCCTCTTTTATGTTCCTTTTAATAAAAAATATATATTTAAATATATGTAAATGTGCGTATTTAAATTTTTGACGATTTTATAAAATTGTTTTGACGATTTTTGATAAAAAAAAAAAATAAAAAGGTAATTTATTCACTTAAATTTTTTTCCAAATAGCAAATATTCTATGGAAAACTAAATTGGCCCAATGGCTCTCATGCATAAAACGTGAGCTTGAACTCGGACTTCATTATTTGAGTAAAAGGTGCTTGTCATATGCATAATAAATTTTGATGTATTTGCTTTTACTCACTTTTTACGTTTGAACTCTTCTTGCTCAGCTTGAACTTAGAATTTGAAGTTGGATGAAATTGTTCTCTAGAAAAATCTTTGGAGCATCATATAGCAAAATCAAATCACTAACAAACAAACATAACATAAAAACATAAACAGAGGGTTTTCGAAAAATATTTCGATGTGTGGCGAATATGCACTCCGCCTTATGGTGCGGATTATAATAATATAATCCATAATCTATATATATATATATAATAGAGTTGCGTTATAAGTGACTGACTGATCATCAACGCCAAGAAGAAACGGCTAAAGCTAGGAACTTGAAATTTGGCATGTAGGTGGGGTTTGGTGAGTAGGCGTGTGATAAGGCGGGGTTTTTGGAAATTCGTACTAAAAGGTACTAAAAACTGTATTCCGGGGAACTATTAGGTTTAGAACTTTGAAATTTAGTATGCAGCTTTGCTTACGACAAGCGAAGTGGTATGTGTGAAAAAATTTTGGAATTTAGTACTAAAAGGTACCAAAAAGTACTAAATAAATAGAACCGGTGGAAATAGATATCTGAAACATGGTATGTAGCTTAAGCTATTACAAATGGAATGATGTGCAAAAATATTTTTGTAAATTAGTACTAAATTTTGGATTTTAGTACTAGAAGTTACAAAAAAGTACTAAATATTATATTTTAATAGAACCGGTGGAGACAGATATCTGAAACATGGTATGTAGCTTAAGCTATTAGAAATGATGTGCTAAAATATTTTTTAGGAATTAGTACTAAAAGGCACTAAAAAGTACTAAAACTATATTACGCCGGAACGGTTGGAAGTAGATTTTTGAAATTTGGTATGCAGCTTTGCCTGCGATAAGTCAAGTGGTGTGTGTGAAAAAATTTTGAAATTTAGTACTAAGAGGTACTAAAAAGTACTAAACATTACATTTGAATGGAATCGGTATTACTCCGGAACGGTTGTAAGTACAACTATGAAATTTTATTACAATGGAAGAAGTAGGAATATATATGTGGAAGTTGTACTTAAGCTGTTAGAAAGATGGGGAAACATTTTTTTTTTTTTTTTTTTTGAAAATTAGTTTTAACAAGTTATAAACATTTATTACAAAGAACCTATAGAGATTAAAATGCGAAATTCTATTACTAATAGAATGTTCTGCATATTGTGTTTTTTTTTTTTTTTTTTTGTTTTTGGAAATTAGTACTAAGGTGGTAATAAAAATTACAATGGAAAACGTGGCAGTTTCACTATTACAAACACTATGCTATATATTAATATATTTTTGATGTTAGTACTAAATGGTAAACAATGAATGGTAAAAAATATAAACATACTAAATATAAGTGTGGGGAACTTTTGTATGCAAAAATAGTGCATTGATAAAGTTTTATATTAAATGGAATTTAAAAGGCATGGAAACTACTAAATATTGTACATGGGTATTGAGCGATTAGAAGTGACAGAGTTTGGAATTCGTGTATGTAGCTTCTAAAATAAAAATATAATTTTCCTAGCGCCAATAACGAGTTAATAAGAGAGAAATTGGCATTGCCTAATCTCAATGTAAAATAGTCTATAGTCTGATCATCAACGCCCAGACGAATCTTGATATTTTGCATGTAGGTTAGTGTTGGAAATTCGTATTAAATTGTTCTTAAAGTTACTAATAAATACTAAATATCATGTACGGTAGAACGGATAAGAGTAGGAACCAGTTATTAAATACTTATTACAGTAAACATTTCTATATAAATATTTTCCACAAATATGTTCTAAACAGTACTAAAACTAAAACACATTGTATACTGGTACGGGTAAGAAATATTCAGCTTTTTGTGGGAGGACCCAAAGCAAAAGGAAGACTTGGCAAAGATAATAATTTGAGCAAAGTTTTGATTCAAATCGGGCGCTCCATTCGCCTGATATTGGATTTATAAATATTGAAAATCTATGGTGGAGTTACCTGAAGGAGTGAACCAATTGGTTCCATCTTCGAACATGCTACAGGTTTTGTAAAGATAATGCACAACGTTTGATTAAAATTGGATAGTCATTCGCACAAGTTTGTGTAGGAGGTACCAGAAGGAGTGGACCGACATTTCCCGTCTTTAACATTAAACTCAATTCTTTCCAATGAGGATTTTGTAACACGCAACGCTCAGAAGAAATAAATTTCGGCATTGGAATGTAAATCTTAAATATAAAGGCAGAACTCTGTTAAAACCAATTACCAATTTAATTAAAAATGTCGTATTGTGCAAAACATTATTTTATAAATTCGTACTATAAGTACTAAAGCGTACTACATATTTGGCATTAGTTTTAAATTAACGAAAGCTAGTAATAATATAATCCGTTATTTCTATTCCAAATGATTGCTTCATTTCTTTGACACATGTTTCTATTGTTTTTTTTTTTTTTATTTTTAATGCATGATAACTGACTTTTTTGAAGTAATTGTTTATTTTCCTTAATTTTTTATAATAAAAATGTAGATATATCTATCAGTTTCTTTATTATTAGTATTTACTACTATTTCCAATTCACTTCCACTTGACGTCATATTTGCACTTCAATAACAATTATAAGTTTGATCAGAATTTGCCCAAGTAATTCCAATTGGTTTGAACTCATTTTTATACATACGAAATTGAGCAAAAGCTGTTGCTGTCCGATCGAACTCAACTAACGAGCAATTGCTAACTTGACTCTACTCATCGCTTTTACTTTTCACCCCTTTGTTTACATTACCACCATCACAGAATACCGTGTTCGTCGAGTCCGAATCGTGGATTGTATGAATCAAACGAATACAACGAATTCGAGACTCTCATACTTGAAGCAATTCATGTTTATCGTACACTAACTCATTGCACTTCATTTAAAAAAAAATGTAAAATAGAAGCCATTACTTTGTGACTCATGGGTGGTGTTTTTGTCCATGCATGCAGATGTCTAGTTCGTACTTACCGAAATGTGTTTCTTATAGTTATCCTGTGTATTTTAAAATTCAAATGGATATCATTGAAAATCAAGGTTTATTAAAGAAAAAATTAAAAATGTAATAAATCTACGATATAAAAACCATAGTTTTTTCGCTGATTTCTTAAAATACATGGAAGAACTTTTGAACTTATTAAACAATTATTTATGTAGATTGGCACTTAATGGGGGGAAACTAAAATCTATGCTCAAATACTTTACCTAAAACGATAATACTTATTATAAATCCATATTTAAGAGGATATATAAATATTTGAAATCAGATGAGGACAGTAGTAAAGTGGTAGTAAGGCACATTGGTTACAACAGTTATGGTAACGTTGTGGGCCTCAAAGAACAATTGAACGATAAAGAACGAATTACAGTACAATGTCAGTACCATCTATCGATTCCAGTGAGCTCTACATTTGAATTGTTTTTGCAATTGTAATGTCCCAGTTTACATTTTTAAGATTAATATGTATATTTTCTTATTAACTAGTATACTTTGTGTTGCTGTTTTTACTGGCAATAGAAATTAGATATACGAGTAAAAAAATATGATGCAGGATATTGTAGCTTTTAATATTTACAGTCTTAATTTATTCATGTGCTCATCATTTATCATCTGTGTTCATATGGTGGTTTCGATGAACTCTTGTATCGGATATTTGAATATGAGCGATTTCTTCATACTTCTTCGAGTTTTAATACAACGAAATTTTACCATCATTGCAATTTAATTTTGTGCAGTTACAAACACATCGCGACAAAGTTTTCGGAAATTACTCAATTACAATTATGTTCACTATGCAGTGTTGCTTCTAAGCATTTTGCTCAGTCATTGCATATCTCTTATTTGTTCACACGAGGTTTCATAATAGGATGACGAACGGGCGGACGCTCCATTGTTAATTATCACTTGGTTATATTTTGACAGCTGCACTTGTTGCGGCTGCATTAGTAGTGTTGTTATTGCCACCAGTGTTGTTGTTAGCTCCACCGCCATTGTTGTTGTTGCTGGCATTTTGGATTACGTTGGTTCCGTTGGTTGTACCGTTGCCCATACCTTTGAGCAGTTCCATATATTGGAATGGAACATGAAAGTTTTGTCCTTTGTGTTCGACAATCAAATGGCCACGGCATGATGACGCACCAACAACATTTACACTTTCGCCCTTTTTCAATTGTTCGGTAGGCGGATTTGTTATGGTGTCCTCGGGAAAGTTCATTTTCATAACACGCGTTTGTGGAAAGCTTAATTTTGTGTTACCAGTTATAGTGTAATTACGAGATGGTGGTACAGGTGGCGGACGTTCCTGCAAATGGATAGAAGTGCAAAATAACAAATTATTAGCTGGTTTGTACACATACTTACATATGAATGTGAATTAAGTATGTATAAGCGAATTTTTGAAAATAAGAATATATGTATGTATGTTATGATTGAATTTTAAAGTTGTTAATTAAATTGCAATAAATACAGTGAGAATCAAAAGTCTGATATTCCAGTCAAAATAAATAATTTGAAGATTTAATTTTATGGCTATGGAACGATATATCCACCGCTATTGGTCTGCATGCTGTTGGGCCTAGAGCTTATAATCACCTGTAGCAATTGTATAACTTCACTGACCAAAAAAATACATGACGACAGACGATAAAATTTGCTACTCATCCTTCTTTGAAACTCTCGAATGCGACTTGCACAATGATTTCATTACGAGCAATTCTGATAGAGAAGTCATGTAAACTGTGGATTTTCTATGAAAATTACAAGGTGTAGGCTTTGTAGAAATTACTACTATATTGGATAGATACATTAGTAGGGAAAACTTTTCTATAAAATGTTAACAACCAACCTTATGTCCCTGAGGATAAACGGATTGGAGAACTTCCATTTATTAAAGGAAAGGAGTTACAAATTCCATATTCACACTCCTAAACCTTCGGTGCCAATTTCTATGGTAGCCAGTGGACTATCGCATCTATACTCTAAACATAGCATTGAAGATTTCATGTCCTTCTCATGCCCAATCTACTTAATTGCTACTGTATTGCTGATGACAAATGGATCTTTAAATTAGGAAGATCCACAGATATGAGATTTTATAAATTAAAGAAAATTATACACAATGACGTCACATTTGTAAAAGACAAAGGGCGGAACAATACCCTATGCCACAATTGTCAAAGGCCAGGCCACGTGTCACATAACTGCGGTATGACATACAAATGTGTGAAATGCTCGTAGGACCATGGACCTGGCAAATGTTTAATCCCTAGCAAGAAAATTTTAGAAAAATTGCCAGAAGATGAAGCCAAGAAATTTATTTTGAAATGTGCAAACTGTGGTGCTGAAGGTCACCCAGCTAATTCCAAAGAATGCCCTAGGATTCAGGCTACACTCCAAAATAGGGCTGAAAAAATAGGCACTCAAGAAAGCGAAGGTTGCCTGAAGTTCGTAATGGAATTCCGTTCTCATTTATTATTCGTTCATCCTTGCTTATTAATTCGGGGCCAACACTAACCTCAATAAACCTAAATAAAACGCCAAATACGGCTGATATAAGGATTACATTATAAATCCTACTTTGGACAAAGTTTAGCTGAACTACTTATAGATTTGGACGAATTCAACGATGTTTTGTCATAGCTAAGCACAAACTTAATAACTGACATAGATTTTGCATTGATGGATACACAATTTATATGCAGTGTAGAGGGGGTACTGTTATCCTTTTTAGTATAAAAACCGGCAACATTGAATCCTGCTGCGCCAGGATTTTTAGACCTAATGGTTCAAACATAATTTTTGTGTCCATGTACCTTCAACCACAGGAGCAACTTTACCCCACCCATCTGGATGAAATCGTACATTTAGGTTCAAACAATGAAATTATCATTGGTTGCGACCTGAATGCGAAGCATCCGGATTGGGGGGTTTTGTCACAAACCGTAGAGGAATAGATTATATAATTATCTATTAAACTGGCCAACACTATGCTTATGCCCAACGTCAAAGCCAACAACTAGGCCTAACAGAACAGACGGATATTTTATTGACTATTTTTTAATATCACCATGTATTACTCTCGTTTGTTGCCAACACATTACTTTAAGTCCGATCATATGGCTGTCGAGATGAAAATGTTTGTTGGCAGCACTGAATCCGCTGAGGCGCAATCCTATTTCAATTTCGATAGGATCAATATTCGTAGATTTAGGAGGGAAATTGAAAATAATATTGGTAATAATTTTCTGCCAATAAATAGAAATGTAAATGTAGCAGAAATAGATTCTTGTATTGAAGGACTTACCTCCACTTTTCAAAACGCAATTAAATTGTCAGTACCAAAAATTTAATGCCGTAACCCATTACTAGAAGAATTGTCACGAAATATTATTCGTTTTATGCAAGAACGCAAAAGGATGAAACTTACGTTGCGAAGTACATTATATCCGGACAGATATGCAGTACTAAAAGCTGACATCCGGAATCTTACAGCAATCATCAACCAATTAGTCTCCAATTTTGAAAGAGAAAGATACAAATCATATCTGGAGGGCATTGAAGTAAGCCCCAAGACTTACGGAAGCTTCAAAAGAGCTGCAGGGCTATCACACCGAAGTCCAATTAATGACATTTGTGATAATAACGGAACATCTATTACAGATGACCTACTAAAAGCTGAGCTTTTCGCTGATCAAATGCGGGTATCTCATCATATTGAGGAAGGTTGGGGGGAAATTCCTTTCACAGCCTTGTTTCAGAGGTTGTGGATGGAATTGCTGATCGGAAACCCTTAGTTGAGTTTTCCGAAATCTTTTCAGCGGACGGCTCAGTAATTAACAATGAATCCATGTGGGTGCAAAATGGACTTGTTAGTGAAAATATGGTGTCAACAGCGATCGCTAATAGACCCTCCGTAAGTCTAATGGTATTGATGGGATTCCGGATGTAGCTGTAAAAAAGGCTGGTAAGACAATTTCCACATTTTTTAATAATTTTATAAAATTATTACTTTAATATTGGATATTTTCCATCAGCGTGGAAAGAGACTCTGATCGTACCAATTCTAAAACCCAATTCTGACCCAAAAATATGCGGCAAACTATCGGCCAATTTCTTTTCTCTCCCCGTTTGGGAAAATATTAGAGAACCTAATACATAAGAAAATTAATGCCTTCATTGACAAAAACCACATTTTGCGCGAATGTCAATTTGATTTCAAACTTCACCACTCAACAACACATGCCTTGTCCGTATTCTCCACATATGTGTCTGATGGTTTTAAGCTATTTCAAGGCTCAATTGCTGTCAGCCTTGACTTCTCCAAAGTCTTCGATTCTGTTTAGCACAACGGCATTTTATATAAAATGCAGTCATTCGGTTTCAACGCTCAGATGCGTAGGATGGTAGCTAGTTTTTTGGAAGGCAGAGTATTCAAGATGAAAGTCGGTGAAGGGTCTCTAAACAAATACAGATCATAGCAGGAGTCCCGCAAGGTTCTCTTCAGGGGCCTGTGTTATTCAACCTTTTCATCAGCGATATTCCTGGACCACCTGAATGAGGACTGCTACTTGTATATGCTGATGACATATTGTTGGCTCTTAGGGGGAAAAGAGCTAACACCATCGAATGACTATATGACCACTTTGTCTGTTTATTTCGATAAATAGGGGTATAAGCTCAACCCTGAAAAGTGTGTTTGTGTTTGCTTCAATGGCAAACCCAAAGCCTCTCTCACCAACCTGAGGAGACATATACCCAGTATACAAATAGGGATTAACACTATTCCGGTCTCGGACGGGATGAAATACCTGGGTGTAATGTTTGACAAAAAATTGAGTTTTGTCGCCATGTGGACTTCATCCTGTCCAAGGCCAAAAAAGTGTTCCATGGGTACACGAAAAAGTTCGCATTGAGAGGAGCTCTCTCAAACGAGGTAAAATTACTAATTTATCAGCAGGTAGTTAGGCCGATAGTAACCTATTCGTTCGCTGCTTAGTTCAATTTATCCTCTTCCCAGATGGAAAGGAGACGTTAAATTCAAACGCATCGATGCATATATGATGCAAGGAGCTCTTAAGTTTCTGCAATCGTGTGAATTCATCGACAATAGGCTAGTTAATGATATCCTCCAATTAAACGGGGACCTATTAGACCTTCTCGCCAGGAGGTACTTGCCTCCTGCAGCTTTATTAAAGCTACGCGATGATGGCCTTTTGTATGACGATAACCGCTTCATGTTTTATCACAGAAGGCACCAAAGATACGACTGGAGAGCAAACCCTGGATACAACACAATACAATAACCCCATTAAAAATAAGAAAGAATTATAATATACCTTCTATACTTATACTCCAAAAGAGGAAAAACCTATATCATTATATGTAAAAAGATATAGATAACGAAGAATATATCAGCACTGGCCCAATAACAGGTCCTGTCGAGAAAAGTATTGGATTATCTGCCCGATGCACCAGTTACAAAGTAGATTGCCTCGTGATAAAAGATGCCAACAAGGGCAAGAATAATCTGAGGGTCTTAAGCTATTTCAAGGCTCAATTGCTGTCAGCCTTGACTTCTCCAAAGTCTTCGATTCTGTTTAGCACAACGGCATTTTATATAAAATGCAGTCATTCGGTTTCGACGCTCAGATGCGTAGGATGGTAGCTAGTTTTTTGGAAGGCAGAGTATTCAAGATGAAAGTCGGTGAAGGGTCTCTAAACAAAGACAGATCATAGCAGGGGCAAGGTTCTCTTCAGGGGCCTGTGTTATTCAACCTTTTCATCAGCGATATTCCTGGACCACCTGAATGAGGACTGGCACTTGTATATGCTGATGACATATTGTTGGCTCTTAGGGGGAAAAGAGCTAACACCATCGAATGACTATATGGCCACTTTGTTTATTTCGATAAATAAGGTTTTAAGCTCAACCCTGAAAGGTGTGTTTGTGTTTGCTTTAATGGCAAACCCAAAGCCTCTCTCACCAACCTGAGTAGACATATACCCAGTATACAAATAGGGACTAACACTATTCCGGTCTCGAACGGGATGAAATACCTGGGTGTAATGTTTGACAAAAAAATTGAGTTTTGTCGCCATGTGGACTTCATCCTGTCCAAGGCCAAAAAAGTGTTCCATGGGTACACGAAAACGTTCGCCTTGAGAGGAGCTCTCTCAAACGAGGTAAAATTACTAATTTATCAGCAGGTAGTTAGGCCGATAGTAACCCAGATGGAAAGGAGACGTTAAATTCAAACGCATCGATCCATATATGATGCAAGGAGCTCTTAAGTTCCTGCAATCGTGTGAATTCATCGATAATATGCTAGTTAATGATATCCTTCAATTAAACGGGGACCTATTAGACCTTCTCCCCAGGAGGTACTTGCCTCCTGCAGCTTTATTAAAGCTACGCGATGAGGGTCTTTTGTATGACGATAACCGCCTCATGTTTTATCACAGAAGGCATCAAAGATACGACTGGAGAGCAAACCCTGGATACAACACAATACAATAACATAATTAAAAATAAGAAAGTATTGAAAGAATTAAAATATACCTTCTATACTTATACTCCAAAAGAGGAAAAACCTATATAATCATTATATGTAAAAAGATATTGATAATGAAGAATATATCAGCACTGGCCCAATAACAGGTCCTGTCAAGAAAAGTATTGGATTATCTGCCCGATGCACCAGTTACAAAGTAGATTGCCTCGTGATAAAAGATGCCAACAGGGGCAAGAATAATCGAAAGAGTAAAGCAAAACAGGAACAAGTCTCATATTGATAGTCAAGAAAATGCTCTGGCATTTTATGTCAATCTGTCATTTTACAATATATGTATTTAAATTAATCCATATAATCAACCAACAGTAAAGGACACAGAAACCCCTGATGACTATATTGGACAGAATGGATGAAATTATGTCCAAACAAATTGTGTCATATAAAAAAGTTTAGAATTTTTCCAGAAGGGAATACGTGTACCAAAGGGTGCATTACGTATGCTGTTCGATCATCCTCAAAAATATGATACAATGTACATATTACCTGCTGACCAACCAAGATTGGCGTGAGCATTTTTTGGAGCAAAATTAAGTTCTAAGTGACCACCCATGACTTTAAGTCTCGTATTAGGAAATATATGTGGTAATGTTTTTGCATTCGTTTGTAGCACGCAATACAGAACTTTTATCCGGAATTGGTATTCAAATAATTGGATAATCTCAAAGATACTACTTTTTCGACCACACGATTTAAAACGATGTAGTAGAGGCTAATAAAAACAAAAACGATATCCAACAGAGTATTAACTTTTATCAGAATGCGTAACATGTTCAGTCACAAATTGATAGATTTGTTGGTACATTGCAATTTATTCCAAAATTATTTAACGGGATAACTTCGGCTTCATTTAGCACATTTTAATGTCGAATAGTTTTTTTTTAGATATTTTATGTAAAAGGGAATACAGAATCTATGTGACATTAAATGCCACTTTAATATAGATTTAAAACATATAGTAAATATTCTTGAGACATTTTTTTGTAAGTTCCATAAACTTAATCTATAAATAAAATAATTTAAAATACAACCTCAATGCGACTTCAATCTATTGTTGTGCGATGCATTGTCCACACCAGTCAATATTTACCAATGTATTCATTCTTAAGGGAAAGAGGTCATTTTATGTCATGACCAGTAACAATATACACGTCCTCGTTACTTACCAAATCTAATCCGAAAAGGCTACATGTTTGTTGTATTATCTTTGTGTCACATTTTTCATTTGGATCTGGTGGCGGAGTACCAGCAATTGGCTGTGGTCTTGGTCTCGTGACATTGCTTCCTCCTGTTCCTGCAGGATTTGTGGTTTTGGCCGATAAGCGCGGCAACGATGCTGATAATGCATTGACGCCAATCGAAGCATTCGCTGTAATTGTTGTCGATGTTGTTCCTCGTGTTGGCATTGTGGCTAAAACTTGCAGATAATAGAGGAAGAACAGAAAATAACATTAAAAATCACTATAAATAATGACAAATTGAAGTTATTTATGGGAGAAAAATTCCATACATTTGCAGATGCCATGTACGCATCAAGTGATGACGTCTTAATGAAGTGAAAACATATTCTAATAAGAAAACATATATTATTTGGAAACGCTTTATGTAAAAATATTTGAAAACAAAAAATGGAGTTATTATAAATTCAGGATATAGAGTTATATTAGAATCTCTGTGTCATTTCAATATCGTTTGTTTAGCATGTACAGTGCTTATGCGTAACAAAATACCGGTCCCTAGGAAATATCGTGATAATTCTTAAAAATCCCATATATTTCGGTCCCCTTCGATAATTCGTAAAAGCGCTAGGGACTTGATTAAAAACTATGAACCCTAAAATATTTTACGGGGCTGTTTTTTAAATGCCTTCGTGACAGAACAATGTGTTTCAAGTATGATACGTGCCATAATGGTAAAACAAGTAAGGACAGAATCACATTTTTGTTTGCTGCTAATATGGATGGCACTGAAAAGTGGAAACCTTTAATGATCGGAAAGTCAGCGAACCCAAGATTCTTTAAAAATATTAATTAATTTCCTATGGACTATCGTCCGAACAAATATTCGTGGATGACAGGCATTTTGTTTGGTAATATGGTAAATAACAAAATAGTCAGCCTAAATCTCTGCTTCAGCCACTCATAAACAATTAAATCTTTCTATCACAATGAAGTCTTAATGCAACTCTTAGACTGCATTGAAGATAAAAATGAACACAAAATTACAATCTTGCACGCGATGAACAAAGCCTGGAAAAATGTTAGCCAATCCACGATTCAGACCTGTTTTCGACAAAGGACCATATTAGTAAGTGAAGAACCATGTATTGAACCCAAAGTAGCCGAATGGAAACGCGTACCTCAAGATGGAGAAAATCATATCAGCTTCGACGAATACGTTCCCTTTGACGACAATGTCACTATTGCAGGCAAAGAAACGGATGACGATATGTTTTCTGCAATTGTGACTCTAGACAACGTAATCAACAAGACGCGACAAAACTCGCTGCATCAAAAAACTGATTGATTTTATTTTCTATTATATACCACAGATACATATGGGCATTTCCGGAAAAGAGTAAACCAAAGTCATAGAATTTGAAAGACTACGTTTGTCATTTTTTCTTCTTGTTCTTAGCATAAATACTAATTTAAAGACTAAAATGACAGCAAAAGAAGACTTAGACATTACTTGGCCCCCGGTAGGCCTTGATTATAGGCCATGCTTTGACCTGGACATCCTAAATCCTTAAAAATTATATTGGGTCCTCAATTGATTGAACTCAAATAACAAATGTAATATACCACCATTAAAGTAAGTTACCATAATATTTCTTACCTCCACTATTTATACCATTGTGTCCATGCAATTTATTAAGCTTAGCCGATGGAGATGTCATAAGCCCACCAGTTCCATTATTGATTACTCGATGATTAACACCACCCATTTTCTTCCGCCACTGCCAACCACGCCATGTGGCCTGAATCAGTGTTGCACTCTTGTTACGTATTTCCGTACGTAAATGTTCCAAATGTTGGCGAATTCCTTCGCTTAAGAAGACATGACGTTTTCCCGGTGCCCAGCCCAATGTAACGGAACCCTCAACAACGGGAGGATTTTCCATAGCATGTTGCAATATTATATTGCAACATTCTTCCATTTTATCCTCGTTTCGACGTATCAAATGGAATGGCGCCAACATACGGTAGCGTGCATTGAACTGTTTAAAGCGCATACGATGGGGAAATCCCGAAGCCATAAGGTTGACCGTTTCAAGGACTTGTAGAGAGCGTATTTGTTTGACAACTGTCATGCGTTCAAAACAACCAACTGCTTCCATCGAATTGCTGCGGATGCATCGTACAAAATGTGGGCGGGCATGTACCAGAGTACGTAAAAGGTTGTCCAAACGTGTGTGGAAGTCTTGAGTTAAGGTTGATACCGGTTCGTCACCATTCAGTAGATCTGTGTGTGATGTTGGAGCTATGCGGAAACTTAAACCACGGGGGACACTTTGCAAGGCATACAGCGCCTTCAGTTCGGATCCAAAAAGATGTGTGGCAAAACCAAAGTTACACGTATGCTTATAAAATACCGCAACCAAATCGTCGGGTACTACATCACGATTTGTATCCAGAAAATCTGTTGCATCGTATTCCACTCGACCGGCAAAATGACGTATCATGAACATTCGTGGATCATGAGGTTCAGTGGTGTGCTTGATTTCCAATCTAGGTGAATTACGATGTTGCACCTTTATTTTACACACATAACTCTCAGCAGTACCGCGGGCGGCACATTCCGCATCCAACATACTCAGCAGTCCAGTGCGCAACGAAGATATCAAATCGATGCATGGAACATTATCCACATAATCCACTTCGGTATCGCAAACGATTCCCTCATCCCGACATGATTCAACGGAGCTCTTAAAGATGTGAGTATTATAAAAATGTTGCATTGTTTCGGCACACAAATTGATACACAGATGTTCCAGTTGAGCATGTGGTGAGGGTTCCTCAAATCCGAACATATCTAGGATGCCAATGAATCCATCCGTGGCATGGCGTACTGCATTGTTAAGGGCAGCCATTGATTTGGAGCCGGAATTTCCGCCAATAGTGGAAGCATGTTGTGATGCAATATCGCCTTGATTGTGTACCGATTCATTGGAATCTGAACTTAGTGTGCCCAATGTTGAACCCAAACGCTTCAGGCTATTTGCTCTCCTGACAATTGTGGCAACAGTACGGCAATAGAGAGCCTTTGCCAAGGAATCACGCGTCATGTTAGACATGTTGGCGTCACAAACTGATTTTATCAGTTGTCCGCGTGCATTGTGAGTCCTAAAAAATTCATAAAGGTGAATTACTTAACCAGAAAATGGAAATAATAACCTTAAAAAAATCTAACATTAAATTTAATATATTGAAAGATTATACCAGAATACCAAAACATTTTTATTTATATACATACTGAATCTTTGTATATAGACTCCAAATATTTTATATTTTAAGACAAGGTGTATGAACAACGGAAAGGGTTCACCAACCATAACTGACGTAATATCGGTGCAATTATTGGACGATTCTATAGAAAATATGACTATAAAACCAAGGATGCTAACAGAGTATTTGTACGATATATTTAGTATAGTGAAGAAAACGGGAGTCGAAAATAAGGGTATTAATTTAAATCGAAAACATACAGTTTAAACATAAATTTGAGAATAATGACTAGCTGCAATAATCAGAAAAGACACTTAAACTAGATTGGTACCAAATACCAACAGCATCTGGACGACTAATAAACTTTTATTCTAATCATCCCCAAAGAGTGAAGATAAATAAGGCAATAAATTTTATACATAGAGATTTCAATACAAGTGACCAACAATTCCACAAAAACAATTATTAAAAACAATGATTTCCCACAAAAAACAATCGACGACCTATTAAAACATACAAAACGGAATAAAAATCTTAGAATTAGAGGGGAAAATAAAAAATCGTATAAATTTTTAACATATATCCCTTGATCTCCGGAGAGATTCTGTACAAAATTTTGTAGTGAAAATGTTCAGTAGTAGTTTAGCGCAATGTAGTTTATAAGATAGCTTGTAGCGGTGTCGAATCTGATGTATGCCAAAAGATATGTCAATGACATGACAAAAACAAATTTAACCAGTGAGCGGAGCAGTATAGGCGGACGGGACCGACCATATTATAACTTACACAACTTCCACGAAAAACTAATTTTGCGTGGTCCTATATTCTGAACTAGGGCAATAAGTTTTCGGTCCACTTCATACCAATATTATTATATGATCATCATCGAAAATGATAGGCGTTTCCCTTGACCATATCTGAATCCTCATGGAAAATTGCAAAGCGATCAGCGCCATATTGGTAATGTGTGGTAATGGGTTACTAAATAATATCTGAATACGTTAGCACCTGTAAATATTTCAGTGTAACTCCTATATCAGAGTACATACGACGATATAATTGGTATCAATTTGAAGGTCAACCACTCCTCTTGGACATACTATCAACTTCTCGGGTCTATGTCCTTCGGGAGTAACTATATACGCCATAGAATACAAATTTTGTAATTTTTCACACAAAAGTCAGGGTCCATTTGACCGCCTAAATATTGACCGATCTTTATGAAAAGAGGCATGCTTATTCTTTGGCCCGATCAGCTCCTCCATGAAAAATTTTGCGATGTTTGGGCCATAAATGCGACCTCTGAAGCGACCAGAAAATCAGACAAAAATAACGGTTTTGGTCCATTTCATCCCCTAAATATTAACCTAAATTGGCCTGAACCCATCCTACATGCAAATTTTCTTGAAGATTGGTCTATAACTGTGGCCTGTATCGTGTTTACAAATTATAATGGACAGACGGAGGACACACATGTCTAGATCAACTCAGCTAGTCGAGATATGACGATCGGCATACTTAAAGGTGGGTCTAGGACCAATATTTCGCGGCGTTACAAACTCTTGGGGCTGCACAAAGCTATAATACCCTGACAACATAATTGTGTAGGGTATAAAAATTGTATGGAAATTATTTTTTATTTTATTTGACAAATCAAAATGAGTTGCCATTATTAGTTTCTCAAAAACTTAACCAATAAAAAAATTACCAAATAAAAATCTAGCCAAAGGAACTAAAATTATAAATTTATTTTATTTAAACAAATAATTGCATCTATAAGTGAAATAAGGTGTCATAAAATTTCTCGCCACACAACATTCACCTCAAATTCACCAAAAATTTCACACTACACAACATTCACGTCAAATGGACAACCGTGATGTCTTTTAATATCCCACCACAACAGATTCACCAAATACTAATGTGTTATAATTCAATTATGAAACGAAATCCATGACAAGAACCACACAATGGTAAAGTGTTATAATTGAACTCACCTCACTGTTAGACCACGAAACAGGGCCGCTGGTGGAACACCCAGTAAACTGGCCACGGCATTTAATTCAGTTTCACCCTTGACATCAACCTCTAGACTCTGTGAATAAAAAAATAATAGCATTTTTAGTACATATTTGCACCACAAATACAGAATCACCAATTTATTAGTATTGTAATTTTACAGATTTCATTTTTCAAATGCCGTATGGAATTCCAATACACAAATTAAATTTATGAAATAGTTTTAACACTTACCTGACCATCGATAAATTGTACATTTCCCAATAGTAGAACAGCGGCCAACACACGAACCACATCCAAAAATGGTATACCCAATATACCCAAACAAGTCTTCCATGCTTGAAAGCGTATCGAATCTTCTTGTTCGTTTTGTACCACATCACCGTTTTGTAAGTAACGCAAATTTAACGGTGAATATCCCTCCAAATTTAATTTCACACGTTCTTCCCGACTGAGGCCGGCAAGCATTTGATAAAAAATATGATAGTTTTTCTCTTTTGGCAGTGGTCGTATCACTCGTGTCTGGTCTAAAAAGTAACAATGAATTTTAGTCCGATACAGAGCACCATCGGTTACTTGTACTTCAATAAATTGACCAATGCGACTGGATTCGGAATTTGTTGTGGTCTTGGCTGAGCCTAAGGAACGTAATACTGTAAATGCGGCTGCCAAATGTTTAAAGGCATCCGTTTCTGGTCCACCACCGGCGACGGCAAATAGTTGACGAAGTAATAGCATAGAACAATGTGTTTTACCAGCACCCGATGTTCCGGATAAAATAATGGCTTGTGGATAACCTGTTTCGGCCTGTTGACGTACGGCTTCCTGGACAATTTTACGCAGTTGGGGTGCCAACGGGAATGCTCGGGTGGATGTAAGTGTCAAGGGATTGCCGACATGAAGATATGGATTTATGGACAGCAATATTGGGCCGACATTTGTCTAAAACACACAATATTAAATTAAATAGTTAATGTTTTTTAATATTTTGTTATTGCAATTATAGTATAGACGAGCTCATGAAGAAAAAATGTCTGTTTGGATTTATTTTTTTTTTCAAAAAGTCAAAAATAAAAGTAATTTAAAAATGTTTATTGTACTTATGTCTTGTGGTTTCTTGAATTTGGACTATTTACAAAGTTCTGAATATTCTAACATTACTTTTTAATAAACGGAAACCGTAAATATGATACAATAGCCACAGAATTCCGAGTCATCACCATAAACCCAATTTTGGTGTTTTTAAGGTTCTTGTTCATCGAAAATTCTAAATTCGGGATACTTTTTCGAATTTGATTTCCTTATCCATATTACGAAATTTTTGAGTTTTGTAAAGTTCGAACGGACCATAACATTCCTTTAATATGGATACAGCCGCTTCGGTATTAAAATGTAGCTTGGACCATCGGCATATGTAAAATAGGGAGATACCTGTATATGGGCTATGTAAGAATATGGACTTATATTAAAAAAAAAATTTTCGAATAATCAATACGGTTAGGAGAAGTAACAAAGTATATGAAAAATTTCATAGGAACATCTTTAATATTGCCTATTTTTAATTAGTTTTTGGGATGATGTTCATTATTTATTAGGAATCCGATATGTCAAATTAATGCTAACTCGATTTGAAATTCGGTCGAAAACTTATTAATACCGAAAATGGAGCACAACTTTTATGTGGGGACTATGTCAAAACTTAAATACACTATTTTCCGAAACAAAATTTCTTTTACCCTTCAATATCCAGGAAAACTACAGCCACAACAATCGGAAAATGTAGCTAAATTCTTCAAAATACTGACAAAGGAACGCTACGCTTATAGGGGGCTATGTGAAAACATGGACCTATATGGATTATTTTCTGTATATGTACAGTGACTCACAATCAAAAATATTCACTTGGTTTTGGCATAAGTTCGTGTTAATTAATGAATATTCTTTTTCATATCGCTCATTTGCTGCAAGATAGGCATAACTCAAAAAAAAAAAAAAAAAAAAAGATATGGGACAGAGGAACTTATACAGTTTCTCATTTAGAGTGTGTAAGAGATATTTATATGAATTTTTTACACAATATGAGGTCTATTATAGCGAACAATCGTACATCATTAACTCGAAAACCACGTTTTATGAGTTACGCCTGTCTTGCAGCGAAGGAGCAATATGTAAACATGAATACCCTAACTTTAAATTAATGAAATAAAATTGGCAACTTTTATATAAATTCAATATAAACAAGTGAAAAAGCGTTAAGTTCGGCCGGGCCGAACTTTGGATACCCTCCACCATAGATATACTGACAGGTAATTGAAATAAAAATATAGGGAACATACCAAAATGTACCTATACCGGCATTTCTACAAAACCGATTATGGTTCTAAATATTGGTCATAGACCCCATATTTCTTTGGAGCACATTTGTTTCAAATAATTTTGATTTCTTCCAAACTTTATTTCTTCCAAAATTAGTTCAAGTTCGAACATGGGGAATCGGTCCACTTCTTCTGGTACCTCCCACAAAGGGGCTAGGCCTAAATGCGGGTTACTTTTCATGTATATGAATATATATATATATATATATATATATATATATAAAGGGGCTAGGCCTAAATGCGGGTTACTTTTCATGTATATGAATATATATATATATATATAAGGATAATTATCGAACCTTATGTTCTAGTTTTTTTCGTATCTTCCGCAGATGAAATGATTACAACAGAGTCTTAGAACCAAACCCAAACACGGAAGAAGTCATATAACAATTTTAATATAAAAGGGGGTTATATGGGGACGACCTCAAAAAGGGGGCGAATATTAAAAATTTTTGATAGGGATATGTGTTACCATATACGACAACGAAATACCAAATTCGGTTGTAAAATGCGCTAAAGAATCCTAAAATACCGAAAATTGGGGGTACCCTTTTGTGAAGAGATTTGGTACCTATTAAGAAGTCAAAATACTAAAATACAGCCAATTCGGTGGAAAAATACGATCAAAACTCCCAAAATACTGAAAATTAGGAGGTACCGTTATATGGGGGCTACCAGAAAAATTGGACCTATATTTATAATCTTTTGTGGAGACCCAATAAAAACCCAATGTACCAGATTTCAACGTATTGGGTTGAAAACCCGCTCAAGAACGCTAAAATACCGAAAATTGGGAGGTACCGTTATATGGTACCTTCCATACTATCGTGGAGGGTATAAAAATAATTATTGGATAGCTATTGTTAGAATGGAACGTCACACAACGATTGCCGTGAGAAAATTAGTCCTTTATCATGCTGAGCTAGCAAAATTCATCGGAAAATAGGGGAAATACTCAATATTATCCATTCATAAACCCCAAAAACAGGAAAATCCGATTGAAGTTTATTCAGGAGCACGCAAAAGGGATTTTTCATTTTGAAAATCTGTTATTTTTGCCGATGAAAGTAAACTGGGTTCACTATTGAACACATTTGCCTAAAACCTTGAAAATACCAAATATGAAGGTATCGTTATATGGGAGCTATCCTAAAAATCCATTCTCAATACCAAACATCAGGAGTAGTGGCAATGTACAAAATTTCAATGCTCTACTTAAATATTGTGAGCTCTATACTGATTTAAAAATACGAGCAGACTGACATGACTAAATCGGCATGGAATTTTATTCCGATCAAGAATTTTTAATCTTTATGGGGTCTCGGTTCAATATTATAATACTATACAAGCTTTCTGTCATTGTTGAAAATGTTCAACTTTATATTCTTGTAAGAAAAACATACGTTACCCAACATTAATTGAGGTTTCTGAATTTACACAGTTCAAAATGCGCACGAATCACACCCTGTTATTGTATTTAGTCGAGACATAATACATAGTGCAATCGTTGTGGGACATTGGTGAAATTAACTCAAGTAGAATAAAAAAACTCTCCATATCAAACTCTACAATGTTGATATCGGTATATAAGATGATCACCGTGAAAATGTTTCGTATAAAATAAATTTGTTCGTATTCACCATGTTTTGTTCTATTTATAGCCACAAATTCATAAAAGCTGTTGTGAGGCTGCTAAAATGTGGCGAGTAGGTCGGATGGTAGCATGCCGACTTTACAATCAGAAGTTAGTGGGTTCGATTCCCACTTCACAGTGTGTGAGTTCATGAAAAATCTTCTGTTCCCTGCCACCTGAAATAAAGTTATCATTTCTCGTAATGATGTCGTCTATCTTGGGTAATTTACGCCTGAACTTTGGATGTTGAGTCTATGATAACTGAGCGAGAACATTTTTTGTTTTTCTACATAAAATTATTTTGATATTTGGATACAATAAACCACCTATTCATAATATAGGTTTTAATTATCATAACGAAAATAAATTTTATTATGCTATATTAGAAATTATGGTTGGCACTAATCCGAATTATTCGAGGATATATTTATAAGTGGAGTACGATATCCAAAATCTTCCTCTCCGTGAGTTCTTCTAAAACTTAAATTAAACAAACTAAAAATTGGAGAATATATCCATTGATATGGTATGTGATTGTGATTTATGGTTCTTCAAAATGTAGGGGCCACATATGTATGTGTATCTTGGTACGAAGACATTTTCCCTTTGTATCTCACTCCCTATTACAAATCTGTACATTTGTCTGGCTATGTAAATTTATCATTTTAGTAAAATATACATAAATATTATAAATACTTACAAAATAGCAATTGTCATGAAAACGAGCCTGCAATGTTCGCATTACAGCATCCTCAGTTAATGGCCCCGAGAGATGAATTAGATCATCCAACTCATGCGGCTGTTTTGTCTGACCTCCAGATGGAAAGCTCTCAATCACGCCAGGAATGTTTCCACCAAAGCTACCATTGGTATTTATAGTAGGGTGTAGTTGATTGGCATATTGGTTCGATCGATAATTAATATTTTGATGGGCGTTACCGTTAGGTCGAGCATGGCAATTTGCGAATGAGATGGGTAGAGTGTTGATACCACTGCAAGGATTCAAATGTTTTTGTATGGGTATGAAGGGCAGTTGTTGCTGCTGCTGATGATGATTCTGCAACTGTTGATGATGTGACGAGTGCTGTGCTGTCTGTTGCTGAAACTGTTGTTGATGTTGATTGGTGCCGTTGGAATGGTGTGATGATGGCTGGTGATGATGCAGGTGCGAATGTTGTAAATTATGTTGGCTCTGATGCTGCAGTTGTGATGCATGCGAGCTGGATGATCGCATTGGTAGAGTGTTTGAGTTGTAATTTAGTGATGTTGTGTTGAGCGAGGTGGATAAAACTGGCATTACAATGGAATCCATAAAATTTTGGGCCGATGAAGAGGAAGGCGCTAAAGAAAAACAACAACAAAAAATTAATTAATCATAATCTGCAATTCAATAGTTTATATGATAAAACTTAAGTTATTCGAAAAAAAAAAATAAAAAAGTAGGGGAGAGAGGGGCACCTTTGAACACTTTTTTCTTTCAAGCCTCATAAAATTTTGTATATTATAATTTTTGGTTTCTTATAAATTTTAATTAATAGGTACATATATAACCTTTACAATGAATATACATATGATATAAATATTTTATTGCTGTTTTAAGGGAGGAAGTCAAAGTGTTCAAAACTGCCACCCCAGGGGGGCACCTTTGAACAAGGCTTGACATTTTTGAACGGCTTGGTTTTTTACGGTGTTTATGTTAAAATATAAATGTATTTTATTCAAACATATCAGAAATGCATTTATTTATTAAAAATATATCTTTATCTAAAATGCAAAAATGCGTAACTAACAAAAGCGTAATTGTGTAGGAGAAGCAACAAACTGTTTTGAATGAAAACTATAAACATGTCATGTGAAATGAAAAAGTATGCCCGGCAGGGTGATATTGCATATGACGAATAATAGACTATAATCATTAACAAATTTAGTTATTTAGTTTAATGGCAGTCATAACAATTAAGTAAAACGTGAATTTTTTGTTAGTTACGCCTTTTTGCATTTATCAAATAAACCCACTTGTAGTTACGACTTTTTGTTTTTTTTTTTTTTTTGTTAATAGAAGCTCCTTTTTTGACCGCAGACGTGTAAAACTTTGTCAGCACATGTAGTTTATTGACATTCACAATATTCATTCAAAAAGCCAATATTTAATTTTTTGTTAGTTACGCCTTTTTGCATTTTAGCTGACAATATACAAAAATTTTCGAAAATTAAAAAATTCAGATCAAAATTCATTAAAACATAAAATAACATAAAAACAAAAATGAATATGAATATGGTGAAAAATACAGTTAATTTCGTAGTCTTATTATCCCATTTGAAATTTTGAGAAATCGAAGCCAAAAGTTAAAAACTCCGCTTTTTACTCGAATTGAATGGGCATGTTCAAAGGTACCCCACCCGTGGCATTTTACGGAAATGTATAATAACTTTTCTTCCTGCGCCCTTACAACCAAAAGAATAAAAGTTTACAATTACACTGCGAAAACATGGTCACCCATGTACAATTTGTCGGCAACTGAAAAAGCTAGCCAAAGTGGTTTACGCAGATAAAGAACAAGATTGCCATATACAAAAATGTGGTAACGGGTCGGAAAAAATTTAAACCAAGATTTTATGAGCGCTGTTCGAAGGTGCCCCCCTCTCCCCTACATATTATTTTTTATGATAATATTTAAGGGACCCCTTTTTAAATGATTGAAACTTTAACTACATACTTAAAAATTTTTAGTAATAATTGAAAAAAAGCTTTTGAAGATATAGCCGATTTATTCTGAAAGTGCTATGTGAGAGCGAAAGCTGAAACTGCAATAATCCCAATTGGTGAAATTTTTTTTTAAACTAAGATATCAGTTGAAAATAGTCGATTTTCCGAAAAAATGTTTTCATAGGTCCGTAGTTTTTTTACAGTGAGCTGTAACCATGGCCGCATTCGAAAAGAAGAATTTTTCTTTATTTCTCATGGAAAATTTCAAAGCGATCAGCGCTATATTTCTGCCCTCTAGTGTGGTAATGGGTTACTAAATATTATCTCAGTATGTAAGCACCTGTAAATATTTAAGTGTAACTCCCACATATAAGACCATATAATTGGTATCAATTTAATGGTCAACCACTCCTCTTGGATATACTATCTTCAGGGACAAATATATACGCCATAGAATAAAAATTTTGTAATTTTTCACACAAAAGTTAGGGTCCATTTAACCCGCTAAATATTGACCGGTCCTTATCAAAATAGGCATGCTTATTATTTAGCCCGATCTCGTTCTCCAGTCGAGATATGACGATTGGTATACTTGGATAGGATATAATGACAACATAGATGTGTAGGATATAATGGCAACATACTTGTGTGGGGTATAATAAAAAAACCCAAAAAACAACAAATATATATCAAATTATTTTCTTCTTTTTGAAGTTTTCAAAATGATGAGTGTTCATTTGTCAGTCTGTTGAAAATGATTGTATTTATATGTAGGGGAGACCGGGGACCTTTCGGTATTTATACTTAATAAACAGATACAAAAACTTTATGGCTTATTATTGTCCTCTGATACGTAATTATAAAAACTAGTACCAAAAACATATAAAAAAATCAAATTCGCCGAACTTGCCCCTACCCGGGGTAGCTTCAGCATTTGATGGGGAACACCGCTATCAGTCTGGTTGAAATTCAGATTCTCTAAAGGTTCTATTTTTTTAATATGCGACTCAAAGTTTGACTTTTAAGGCTCTATTTTCTAGCGGCGGACATTGACATCTCAAGGTCACCATCAGAAATAGTTTTTTTATCGCATTATCGTCAATACAAGAACGTTGTGTCTTATACATGCAAATTCGATCCATATTAAAGAATTATTTTTAAAGACAAACCCAAAAAAAGACAACCCCACTTTAAAATGCCGAGTGTAATACTTAAGATACTCTCTATAGTTTTTATTAATTTCTTTCCATTATATTTCTCATTAGTTTTATAATTATAATTATAAAAATAACACTGCCTCAAATTTTGAACAGTTTTATACGCGGAATGCTTACGAAATGGAATGGAAATTTTACAAAAACATCTGTAAAAATACAAAAACGGTGCATCTAAATAATTTTATTAGCTAGACATTTCAAACTTTGCGAAAGTTATTTATTTTGTTATTCGATACCTATGTATCGAAGCTAGTGATGTACGGTGAGAGATTCATATCGAAAACGCGATTACCAAATGAGCCCCAGTCTCCCCAACTATTTTTATTAACCATACGCACTATGGGCCAGGAATCCAATATTTGAATTCTGGTGAGGTTTTGTAATTTTATTTTGATTCCGAAAGTCGGGCAAGTGCAACTTTATGTTTAAAATTTAGTCCAAAGAAGTGCCAAAGTATATTTTAATGGTTATATCATCACTCGACTCCTTGATATATTCCAGAATATGTCCAAATCTTCCTACCATATAACAGTACTCACAAATTTCCCGATTTTTCTTGTTTTTCTTCGCCATTTTAAATCAATTTTATTTTCAATATCGTAGCAAAAGGAAAATAATTGTAAATATTCGTTATATATTACATTGTGAAAAAATAGAGCGGCTATTAAGAATCCATTATAACAGAATCGGCATAGGTCAACTTTAATTTCTCATTCAACGGGGTCACCATAAGGTATATATTCTTGATCAGAATACATTTCTTGCCATTTAGCCTATTAAAATCACAATAGGGATCGCAATATTTATAATAGTTTTGAAATTTTGCACTGATATTGCTATAACTTCTAGGATGTTTGGTATTGAAATGGCATGTATCGCTCCACATTTGTGAATTGTCCCCATATGACGATAACCCATGTATTCGGCATTTTGTGCACTTGTTTCTACCATCTATACTAATAAAGGAGTAAAGTGGTCGACTGACTGATTTAACGATTCAACCACGCCCAGACGAAACGGCTGATGATAGAATCTTGAAATTTTGTGTGAGGGTCACTCTTGGTCCAAATGTGACAGATTAGGCTGGGGTTTGGGGAATTCGTACTAGAACGGTACGAAAAGTACTAAATGTGATACCATTTGTATTTGGCGAACCGGTGGAGCTAGAACTCTGAAATTTGGTTTGGTGGTCGTTGATGGAGTGTAGGATAGATGTACCAAAGTGTAACTATCCGAAAAGTACGAAAATGTACTAAATTTGGTAAAATTCTGTAGCATGTGAACGGATAGAACCAAAAACTTGAAATTTGGAATGCAAATTAGGGTTGGGACGTAGGGTCGATATAAGGAGATGGTTTGAAACCGTATACTCATGTGTTCGAAAAGTACTATATTTGGTACAAATTTAATTTAGAGGTACAAATCGAGCTGGAATCCTGAATATTGATATTAACATTACCGTCGGAATATAGGATTGGGATATGTACGTAGTTTTGGCAATTTGTTATTTATGTGTACGAAAAGTACTAAATCGTACTATAATTGGTACAATTTGGATTTGGGTGAACCGATAGAGCCGGAACAATAAAATTTGAAGTCAGGATCACTGTAGGGGTGTAGGATTGGGGTCAGGATTCAGTTTAAGAAATTATACTTATGGGTACTAAATGGTACTAAATTTGGTACAATTTGAATTTTAGGTGAATCAATCGAGCTTGCATCATGAAAGATTGATTTATGTAGGAAGTTTTAGAAATCTGTACTAATGTGTACTAAATTTGGTACAATTTGAATTGTGAGTAAACCGATATGGTTGGAATCCTGAAACTTGGATTTGGGATCACTGCGGGGGTGTAGGGTTGGGAAAGTTTTAGAAATTTGTACTAATTTGAAATTAAGATTGAGGTATGTTGTTAAATCCAATTCGTACTTCTGATTGTTAACGTAGAATTCGTACTTATGATTGTTAACGTAGATAGTTATGGAAATTTATATTATTGTACACTAATTGACACTCAATTTGAAGCTATATTTGATTTGAGTACAAAGGGTAAAAAATGACACAAAATTTGATATAGAGGTAGATTTCTGTTGCAGTCGAAATGGGTGTGTAGGGTTGAGATATAGAGGTAGATTTGAAAAACGTACTAATGAGAACATATGTACTAAATGGTTCTAATATTTTAATAATGGTCGGTATAGGGTTTTAAATACATCCCACATTCGCTAACGAAGTAGCGGGTATATTCTAGTTTACTATAATTTAATATTTATACCCTACACAACTATGTTGTCAGGGTATAATAGCTTTGTGCAGCCCCAAAAGTTTGTAACGCCGCGAAATATTGGTCCTAGACCTATCTTTAAGTATACCGATCGTCATATCTCGACTAGCTGAGTCGATCTAGACATGTGTGTCCGTCCGTCCGTCCGTCTGTCCATTATAATTTGTAAACACGATACAGGCCACAGTTATGGACCAATCTTCACGAAATTTTGCATGTAGGTTGGGTTCTGGCCAATGAAGACCCCTATTGTTTTTGGAAAAGATCGGTTAATATTTAGGCGATGAAATGGACCAAAAACTTTATTTTTGTCGGTTTTTCTGGTCGCTCCAGAGACCGAAATTATGGCCCAAACACCGCGAATTTTTGCATGTTGAAGGGGATCGGGCCGAAGAACAAGCATACATGTTTTGATAAAGATCGGTCAATATTTAGCGGTTCAAATGGACCCTAACTTTTGTGTGAAAAATGACAAAATTTATATTCTATAGCGTATTTATTTACCACTGAAGGACATAGACGCGAGAAGTGGATAGTATCTCCAAGAGGAGTGGCTGACCTTTAAACTTATACCAATTACATTGTCGTAGGTACTCGGATGCGGGAGTTACACTTAAATATTTACAGGTGCTTACGTATTCATATATTATTTAGTAACCTATTACCACATTGGAGGGCGGGCATTGGAGCGCTGATCGCTTTGAGATGTTCCATGAGGTTCCAGTTAGTCAAGGAAAACGCCTAAAATGTTAGGTGATGATCAGATAATAATTTTTCGGATGAAGTGGAACGAAAAGTTAATTCATTCCCATTCTCAGAATATAGTACCACAGAAAATTAGATTTTCATGGAAGTTGTGTAGGGTATCGTATGGTCGGCCCCGTCCGACTATACTGCTCCGCTCACTGGTTTTAATTCTAATTAGCAAATCTTCATACAAAAATGTATCAATATTAGTCCACATTTTACGGTAGCCTTCATATAACGGTAAATTCCAAATATCTTCCATGCGAGTTGGGGCAACCACATTGGCTATAATTTAGTATTTTAAAATCTCAGTAGACAGAAAATTCCTATCTAAAATGGTCAATATTCACCCAATTTTAGAATAGCGCCAATATAACGTGTTTATTGATCCGAATTGGGACTAATTTGAATATTCCCATTGAATACAATTATATTTTATATAATGGTAGACGATATAAAAATGTTCGGCCCAGATAAACAGAATGAAATTTGTACTTGTTAAATTCTGAATAATAGTTTATAACATTGGACCTTAATAACAAATCGAAGACAACCACCATAATCAAGCCTTATATTTTGATAAGTCTCAATTATGTTGACATATAATTTTCTTAAAAATTTAGATAATTTTTTTTAAACGAAATACCAGTACAACAATTGTTTACCTTTGTCATTGATCTGATGTGGCAATGGATGTGGAATGGACGTATTTCGTGATGAAACAATACCCGATCCACCAGATGTTGAATTATGTGGCAATGTATGACTGAATGTGTGCAAATTCTACGAAAATACAAAACAAAAATCAAACGAAATACTTATTAGTAGTGAATGAATTTCATATAAGCTAAAGCAATGATTTATTGTGATGTGGCAACTCTACTTACTTTATTATTGCTGCTGTTGGTGTTGTTGTTGTTACAGTTAATAATGGTTGTTGATGGCGTTGTTGTTGATGATGATGGTGGTGTTGTTGTTGCTGAGTGATGATTGTTGTTATGATGCTGTAGTTGTGATGATTGTGGTTGTTGTTGTTGCTGATGATGATGGGCGGTATTAGTTTGTGTTGTTGTTAGATTAGCATTATTATTACTACAATTACTGGTTGTGGTGGTGGTGGTAATGTTGTTGTTGTTGCTGTGATTATTATTATTATTAGTGATGTTATTGTTTATTGTTGTAAATAGTGAACCATGTTGCGATTGATGCAATGATGGCGGTTGCTGTTGTTGTTGTGCTTGTACTACGTTGTTGCCATTTGCGTTGGCGAAATTATTAAAACTAGCGTTGCTGTTGTTATTATGGCTATTGCTGTTGTTGTTGGTGCTACCGATGTTCGTACTATTCAAATTTGGACTTGAAGCGCTCAATTCCAAGACCGATGTTAAAGGACCCAGTTGTTGCTGCTGTTGTTGCAATGACAGACTGTTAGCATTGTTGCTATTTTGTACATTATTGCCATTGGCAATTGTACCCGGGCCTTGGCCCACATGCAAACGATTACGCAGTGTGACTAATTCCGTACTGAGACTTTTAAGTCGTTGCTGTAGATGCACCGCCTCATTTGAAGATGAGGCGTCTGTAAGATAAATAAAATCAGAAAAATTCAATTTATAATACATGCATTATCATACTATCGAATAAGTTATGTTTTAAGCTAACATATATTTCATTTAACAATGGCGATTGACGAGTGTTTTATATATCCTTAAATCTAACTTAGTTATTCTTCAATCGATTGCATATGAAACATTATGATCCGAGTCCAAAAATAATTATATTATACCCTCAATGAAATGTACACAATGTTAATAACATTCAATTTAATTCGGCAAAGTTTTTTTTAATAATACTATTACTAAGATCATAAACTGTTAGGTTTGTATTATAGCAGATCTTAAAATTGTGTGCTATAAAATGTTAACTTAGTCGACTACACTCATATAAATGTATGTATAGTGTGTGAGATTGGCTAGTGTGTAGCAAAATCTTCAATCATTACTCCAAAAAATAGGATTTTCCAAATTTCAGTATGCTTCACACGTTGGGTTTGATTTTCCAATGTAAATCTATATATATAAAAATGGTGCCAAAAAAATGTATACTAACTCATCAATTGAGAACTGCCGATTTGACTCAAAATTTCTTTCAGTTGTCGGTAATTGCGGTGGGAAGGTTTTTGTGAAAGAAAATTTTGAGAAAAATCCCCGAAAATCTAGCAAAAATTATTTTAAAGAAATGGCTGGACCGATTTTACTTAAAGTTTCAGTTAGTAGCCTGTAATTGAAGTGGAAAGGTTTTAATGAAAGAAATTTTTGAGTAAAATCCGCGAAAAATGTTGCAAAATATATTTTGAAAGATATTAGCATTTTCACACGTTGTATATCGAACATTTATGATTTAATCTCTTCGTAGTTCTTTTTGGACATATTTTGGGCGAAAATTGGCAGGGTATAATACCTTTAAATAATTGTCAATTATAGAAAATTCTCAAAATATATATGTATGCTAATTTTATACAAGCAATTGGATTCTCATTGCCTTGAAAACAAACTATTGTATATGAAAATAAATTTGCATATATTTTCATTAGAGTTAAATTTAATAATAAGAAACCGAAAAGAGAGAGTATGATTAATCGCTATCATTATTTGCTCACGTTTTCCATAAAATCAAGATTTATTTAGTTTGAAAATCTATAGTAACGCATCAATTGAGAACGGCTGGACCGATTTGACTCAAACTTTCTTTAGGTTATCAGTAATTGGTTTTTATGATAGAAAATTTTAAGAACAATCCGCGGAAAAGTCGCGGAACTGTAAAAAATCGAATGTTGTTCTTTTATATGTAAGTTTAAGTTCAGTTGTTCCGCAACGGCTTTTCGAATGGACACATTGAAACTTATAACGGAAAATTGCGGAATATTTAGAAAAGAACTTGATTTTGGTCTATCTATATGAGTAAAAAATTCAAACAAATAAAAATTATTCACTTCGTGCAGAAAGAAATCATTGGAGACGTGCCAATATTGCAAGGGTTCATGCTGCACAATCACCAGATCAAATCCAACCGAATATGTATAGAAGAAGACCAGTAGTAAATATGGACTTGAGTCGCGCAGCATTTTAATACCAGTCAACAATCATCTAAAAAGACGTTCACTGCGTTGATACCGATACATTATATGTGATATGCCAGCATTGTAATGTATTGAAAATCCAATGCGAAACCCCCGGCTTATGCTGTGCTGGTTTCAAGTTAAAATTGCCTCCATTGGCTCACTGCCACTAAACGGGAAATAATCTAACAATTGCAAAAATGTCTGCATGAGCGACCACAAACTCATTATTGGGCCAGAAAAAAGACCCGCTGGGGGCCATGCAAGACAGTATAATGCTCCCACTATCGCTACAGGAGGAAATGCGTCCAACGTCGGTTGTTTACCCATCCATCCAACTACTTATATTGGAAATCCACATGACTATGCTCAAGACGTTCACTTGCAATCCGAAATGGACTGAAATTTCAAATCTTTTGCAGACAGACCAACTCCCAGCGATCGGCATAACATTACTGCATGAATATTCAAATAAAAGTTCAGAGTACTCATGGATTACATTGTGGGATTAATCTCGAATCATTTGACGCGCTATATATAGACCGAAGATTATCAGAAAATAATATCAATGCTTTTTCGTTGGCCAAATTTCCCTTCCCCGTATACAATTTATTGGTGTTCTGGTTATAAATATGGTCTCTATATCAAGTAAAAAAAAACGGCAAAAATAACGTTGGCTATCCACTGAAAGATATAGATATCACACTTGTCCATAACCGAAACTTTATCCATAATTTTATATCTATCAACACGACATATATGTGATAATGCTGATACCAAACATTTTTCTCGATATTTGCGCCCTCTTGACGGATTATAGGTGAAAAAACACAATTTTTTAACCTGCCACAATGTCCAAATGTGGTTTTCTCGGGTTGAATTGTTAGCTATAAAATAAAAAAGTGGACACTAGGTTTTGGTTGATTTGACCCTCGGAATATTGACCGATCATTATCTAAACAGCCGTTCTAAGAATTTGGTCATAACTCCCTTCACCGTGTAAAATATGTGACCTTCTGCATACAATATGGGCGACTAGAAAATCTGACAAAATTAAAGTTTTCGGTTCATTATCTCAATATCACTGAAAATTTTAGGCGTCGTCCTTGACCCTAACCGGAACTTAATGTACAATTTCAAAACGATCAATGCGACATTCCCACCCACATTTCGTCATCCGCCGACATTTTTCATTTTTTTTTTTGTCATAACTGTGGCTTGTATCCTGTTTAAAAATTAAAATATACAGACGAACGGACGGACACACATGCTAGTCATCTAGTCGAGATATGACCGGTATACTTAAAGGTGGGTCTAGGACCAATATTTCACGGCGATACATAAACTTGGGGCTGCACAAAGCTGCAATATCCTGAAAACATGGTATAAAAATATAGATCTCATTATGTACCGAAATTTTGTATAATAAATATTTTTGGATTTTTTGATAGATTTCTAAAATTGTTAGTACTATTTAGCATTTTTTAAAGAAAATGTAAAATTTTGTCTAAATGAAGTTTTGGCAACACTGTTTAAAAGCGATATCAAATAAAGGGTAGAACATTTGTGGACACCGTCTTTATAACCAATATGTCGTTGAAAGCCGTGTCACTGCAATATTAAATTTAATATTTCATTTTCTTCCACTGTGCCTAACTTGTTGATGATATACCAATGAATATAAAGATTACAGACCAGATTCGACGTCTGGTCATGAATGCTGCTATTAGTAAGTATTTGTGTGTGTGTTGGTGTGTGTGTCATTGGAAAATATATGTATGAAGTAAAATGTTTCTTTTTTGTTGAAAGAATAAATGACTACCACGGGAACAGGTTTTAGCTATGGGCCAGTCATTTTTACTAATTCGATTTAATGACCATTTTCGGTTATTTTTATTTCTTTATTTTAAGAATTTTACTATGTTTTGTTTTCTTTGGTATATTTATGAGATGTCCATACAATTTTTTATTCAAATCAAATGTTTGGGTTTTCGAAAATAAAGGGTTTTATGACAATAAATCATAGTAAATAGCTAAACCTTTCAAATTTCGTACTGGCGATTATAATGAGCCAGGAACATTCTTTGTCAAAATTGTTTCTGGTATTTGTGTTTCGACCAATATTATGTGTGTGCACGTTACCAAATATATGTATTAGCAATATTGACAATATTTTTAATATTCCACGTTACCAAATATATGTATAAGCAATATTGCCAATATTTTTAATATTCTTTATTCAAAAAAATTAAATTTTTGGTTTTTGTTCTACATCAATGATTTTTGGCACATGTCGCGGTCAAATTTTTGTTCGTTTCGTTTTGGAGGTTTTAATTTTGGACATAACAAATCTTAAATTACGCTGTTTGTTATATTGATTAAAAGCATGTATCATTAACTCGAAAATAAGGGTTTTTGAGTTATGCCTCTCTTGCAGCAAATGAGCGATATGATACCCTACACAACTACCACGGAACGCCAAATTTCTGCGGACAATAGTTCGTGTTATTTTCACCCAATTGACCGATTAACAGCTGCTCCTCCTTACCCTGGCATATTTTCCAAAAAATTGTTTTTCCTGTGGTGAACAACATAACGTGGAAATTTTTTAATTTTATACAGAAAGGTCTTTGTTGATTTTCCTTGGTCTTGGTAGATTTTTCTCGCTGAATATTCACCGATCATTATCAGACCTTCTAAATAGTTGGCCAGATTTCCTTTTCCATGTGATGTGTTGTGATGTACCGCTTATTATTGTGAGCTTTGGAACGACTTAAAAAACACAAAAAAAAAAAACATGATCATATCCGAAAATTATAGGCGTCTTCCCCTTGACCATAACCGGAATTTCGTGTAAAATTTCAAATCGATCGGTGCGAAATATATTTCCTATTGTGTGGTAATGGTAATCAGAATCGGTAGATCTCTGTAAATATTTACGTATAACTGCCACATACGAGTACATACAACAAGATAATTGGTATCAATTTAAAGGTTAACCACTCCTCTTGAATATACTATCGAGTTCTCGGGTCTATATCCTTCGGGAGTAAATATATCTATATATATAAAATAGAAAAATATTGTTTGTTTGTTTCTTTGTATGTTACCGATAGACGCCCAAACCGCTGAACAGATCTTAAAGATATTTACACTGTATGTCGGGGCATGCCCTGAAAGTAACATAGGCTATATAAATTTTTAAAATTTCGCTTGGATGCGGAGTTATAGCATCAATAGTAAACATACCTCAAAATTTCTAATCATGTAATATGCGTTTATCTTAAGAACGGCTAGAGACACCGTTTTCAAAATTTGCCTGAATAACGAAGGTGTGAATACACACCATCCATACAAAAATGAGCATGGTACGATCAACGGAAATGCACTTTTTACTGCATTTTAAAAATCTGCATATTGAAAATTGAAAATATTTCGTTTGTATACTCCAAAAATGCTGA